GCTTTCTATACTACTAGTAAGACCTCTAGACAAATGTACAAAACAAATCTTTGATAGAGTAAAAATATCTGAACCTTTTCTCCCATCTAGGCAAGGTCTTCGTCATTTATGTGTGTAGGGGAGAAAAATGCCTTTTCTGATAGCTATGGACTTTGGAACATTGACTGTGGACTTATAAAATGCTGTATGATAATTTTTTGGGATGTTTAACCAGTTTGAGCTCTATCTGGGCTTCTTCTCTCTGCTAGTAAGTTTAAAACTCCACTTAAACTTTTCTCCAACTTGTTGGGAGTTCATTTGAAAATCCGTGGTAGTCAGAACACTCCTCCTTCCAGAAAGTCAGACTAAGGCAACTCACATCAACTGTTTTGTCTTACACTAGGGAGAATAGCAATCAGTAACTTGCATTGGTGTTTTTACTCATTGACTAGAATATGGGACTATCTTAGCCAGCCTTTCTCTTCATTCATGCATCCATAGGAAGTCCATATGAGTGCTTTTACTATGTAGATTGTGGCTGCTAGGAGGACCTAAGAGTTTCAAATTCTTAGTGAATTTTAAATGGACCTTAAAGGAGTAGCCTTGTATTGCTGCTAATAAAAGCTACCTAAGTGACAGGACAGACAACCGAAATTTCTCAGAACTTTCTCTGCCTTAGGGCCTAGGGCAGAATCTCTGACTTATCATCTCTGGAGATGATCTCTTTTGCAGGAAAAGTGCCCTAATTTGACTGTTGACTTATTTTCCTCTCTCTCTTTCAAGGAACTAGATAGCAGTGGTTTAAATCTCTTGGTTTGCTAGCAATACTTCCTTCTCTAAACATGATTGTTATGGCTGAAGTCTATTGTAACTTTCACTTTGAGAACCTACTGGAGTAAGGATATGAGTTACCTGAGGAAGATAAGATCATGCGCTGGTAAAGGGTAGATAGTCCAGTCCAGTTTTATTTTCTGGTTCTCTCTCCAGAGGTAGCTACCTACCCTGGAGTGGTATAAACCTTGGGGGATGTCCTAGGAGGCACAGGAATCAAGCAGAGACTTATGGGATGCCATATTTGTTTCTCTTGTTTCAGATTAGGAGCTCCATATCTGAACCTCTTACTCCTTTGGAATATATTAAGGAGCAATTTAGTATTTCTCTACACCCTTGCCTGGTGTGCCTACCTCCTAAAGCCAAGTACACAGAGGAAAGTACTATGATACCATGTCACAATTAGAATTATACTGTAAAAGAGAAAAAATGGTCAAAATCATCTTATGTTGAGATTTTCTTTAAGTAATTCTTGCTTGTGTTCAAATGTAAATGTGGGCCATAGAAAAATAAGAGGCACCTCAGCCTTAAGACATTCAGCACCTCTAAGTCTGAGGCTACTCCTCCCCCTAACCACCAGGTGCTTAGGGTGGAGTTTCTAGGCCAGCCTTGATTAATCTCTGAGGCTATATTCATCCTTAGCTAAATTGTTCAGGTCCCTCAAAGACAACAACCCTTGCAGGAAGTAAATGGCAAATACGGAACTACATGTGTTCATGAGTCTTTTTCTCTCAGTGATCTAAGACAGATCAAATGAGACCTAAGAAAGTTTTCAGATGATCTTGATATGTACATTGAGGTCTTTAGAGGATTTACCCAGACCTATGGACTAGATTAAGAAGATGTAATGTTGCTCTTAAATCAAACATTGATTTCTAATGAGAGACAATTAGTATTTCAAGCTGCTACTATATAGAGAGACATATTATCTTAATTTTGAAAGCTCAAAAGACAGGCAGCCAGGGGAACAACTGGTTCCTACTGGAACACAAGCAGTTCCTATACAAGGCCCCCTCTGGCCTGCCAATCAGATAGGAGATTAAATAGAAGACATTTTCAGGCATGTATTCTTGAAGGTCTAAGAAATATGAGAACTAAGCCCTTCAGTTAATTTAAATTGTCAACTGTTTATCAGGAAAAAAGATGAGGACATCCCTAGATCCTGATTTGATAAAAGAAAATATTATAGTTTTTCCCAAGTGACAGTCTTGCAGTATGTAGATAGTATAGTGTTATGTGGCCCCTCAGCTTTCTAGCCAAGACACCTGTGCTCTGCTAAATTTTCTAACAGACAGGATAACAATGTTTCTAGATCTAAGGCACAGCTTTGCAGTCTTGAGGTAAAATATTTAGGCCTTATGATATCTTAGGGAACCCAAAGACTGGGAGAAGAAAGAATTAAACCAATTCTTTCCTTTCTACAGCCCAAGACTCTAAAACAGCTAAGGAAATTCCTGGAAATTACAGGCTTTTGTGGCCTTCAGATAGCAGGATATAGTGAGATTGTGTGACCCCTCTATTAGCTTATAGAAAAGCACAAGAGACAGACACCTGGGAACCTCATTCCCAGACCGCACTCTAGAAGTTTAAACAAGCACTTCTAAGTGCCTAACTATAGGACACTGTTTCGGTTTGTATGTTAATAAAAGGTGGGACATGGCTTTGGGAGTGTTTCTCCAACATCAGGGAGCTGCTCAACAGCCTATAGGGTATTTCAATCATAAATTAGATATTATAGATTCAGAGTAATTCATTAAAAGGGTAAGACCTAAACAATATAGTTAGAACACTTTCATTCTCTTTCAAGTGGAAAAAAGCAACCATTGGGTTCTTTGCTTATTGGTTTGATTTTTCTGCTTGGCAATGCAGTGGGGAGTCAATCATAGCTTTTGTCTCTGGAGACATGTTTTGGTAAGGATTGCAGATCCACTCTAGAAAAGCTCCTGATCTTAATTGTCCTTCTACACCTGAGATGGTGAAGATTTAGTTCTTGTCCCATACTTAAAGGCACTCTTCTGTCCCTTCTCCACTGCCCTGCACCTGAGAAATAACACAGTTTGATTTAAGGTACTTCTCTCTTCTGTGGCTGCTGGATTTCAAGACAAGCCTTCCAGAATTGTAAGTTTCCCCTCCCTGGAATCCTTCCAGAGTAAAGCTGACCTTCATTTATTCTGGGCCATATAGAAAACTAGTCTAGGTTTAATCCTGAAACTCTCAAAAAATAAAGGTAAAAGTTTTAGTTCAGATTTATCTGTCTTTCAGCCCTCAAGCAAAATTAGAGAATGGTAAGAACTGCGCAAGTGCAAGGACCTGAGTTCAATCCCCGGTACCAAAAAAAAAAAAAAGAGAGAATGGTAAGAACAACTAACCTGGCTCTGGCCACTTCCTTGCACCTCTATCTCCCATTGGCACTGGACAAGATAAAGTCTAAGGGATACCTTAGATTGGGCACAGAACAAGAGGGATAGATGGGGATCCCTTCTTTTCCTTTGTTTTTTTTCAAAATAAAAAAAACTGTCATAAGTAGACATCTGCACCAACCACAACAGGTTGGAGCCTTGACAGGCCTTCTTCCCTCACTGTTTGGAAGTCATACTTAGCTCCAAAGACTGTTATCTCATTTCTTGTACATGCAAACCTGGCCTGAGTGGACCCCCACTGAAGAATTATAAGTTATTATGATTCAATTTGGCCAAATACATCTGAGTGCACTCTGGTTTACACACAAGTTGCCTTATGTGTGTGTCTGTCTGTCTGTTCAATTTGTTACAACATGTACAGCTGTTATGTTTGAGCTTTTTTCTTTTGGCATTTTGGATTTTTTAAGATGTTTGCCTATAACTCAAGTTGACTTATTGATAAATGTAATTAAAGACATGGTTCCCCCAGGTTGCCAGATGATCCAAATAATGTCAACTGGTTTTAGAAATACAGTACATATTATTGTCTATGTATAACTTGGGAATCTTTCATTGGTCAAAATAATGTGTTAATTGTTATGATCTGGCTCTCATAGGTCATCTAAAAATTTGTTAAGATAATTAAAGACTCTTGGGCTTAGGAAAACTACATGACAGGACTCCCCTTGGTAAATAAAGGAGCGGCTGCCTGAAAAAAAATTTATTCCAGCCTTTGTTCACAAAGGGGACCCCAATAATTTCCATAGCCTTGTGGGAAATACATTGCTAAACATATTGTGATATGTATACATTGGTCATGGTCTAAGTTTTCTGTGAGAAAACAAGGTTCTATTTAAAATGCTCTTGGTACAAAACAAAATTAAGGGATGAAGGGTTTCATGTAACTGATAGTCATTGTTATTTCATGGTATATATTTTTGTGCACTCTGGGTGTACAAGTCTTCTAGGATATTGTTTATGGTAATGATCTTTTTTGACTCAGGTATCTGCTTTTCTATTGCACTCCAGCTACTTGTGATAAGAGGTACAGGTCAACCCAGCGTGAGATAGCCAGTCAAGTAGTAGTTTTCTTTTTTATTTTTTGGTACCAGGGATCAAACTCAGGTCCTTGCGCTTGCACAGCAGGTGGTGAAACCACTGAGCTAAATCCCCAGCCCCAATTTTCTTAAAAACTTATATGATGTATGTTTTATGTGTCACCACACTTAGGGATGTTCAGTTGCCAAACAGTTAAACAATGTCACACACTAAAATTAGAGGCTAAACATTATGAACTCGTAAGGTACATTTATAGGCCAATATGTATGTTCTCTTTAGATGGCATCCTACTAAAGGATAACAAATAGGAGTTTTATTTATGTCATTTAAAGTCTTATGATCAGATGGAGGTGTTTGACTGAAAGACTTTTCCGTACTAAGATGGACACGTAAGTGTTACAAAGAAAGTGTCAACATGACTGTCATGCTATAATACTGGGTGTAGCTCTTAATCTTAAGTTTCTCTATAATATATAACTGTTGTCTGTTAACATTCTACAGGGTTTCAACTACTAAAACAACCATGGTTGATAATAAATAACAGCCCTCTAACTGTGCTTTATACTTCAACAGTGCTTGATGTTTTACCTATTATAATAGTTAAGCTCACTGATCCTACTGAAATACTTATGTCACTGATCTTCTCTTCCGGGTGTTCAACAACTAAAGTTTGGAGACTAAAACTAGAAAAGTAACTGGGCTATGAGGACGGCCAATATTTTGGCCCTGGCCCCTCAAGGTCAACAAAGAATCCAGGACATGAGAGAACCTTTTCTACAGGATCCTACATCTTTGGTAAGTCACTCGACCTCCTGACCAGGGAGATTGCTGGGCACCAGAGGACAAATGTACTGTGTGCCAAAAGAGGGTCACAAAGAGAAAAATATCTCCCATGCTTTCACTGAAAGCAACATGGTCAAGCAAGGCTGTGACCCATCCTAATGCCTGACACTGACAGGGGAGCTGAGAGGCTCTATACATGGTTCCAAAGTAATGCCTGAGGAGACTTAACTGACCCTGATAGACAGCAAGAGGTTCATACTGATTGACACGGGTCTCACTTTAACTTGGTCTTAAACACCCAGCAAAAAAGAATAACCAAAAGAGGTATAAAATAATGCCATAGTAATAAAGCTAGATTAAAAAGGGGCTTCAGTCACTGACCCCTTCTGGCAGTTTCTAGCTACACTAGTAGCTGATCACAGTTATGGATCATGTGGAAAAAAAACTATGGTAAAGTCTATAAGAGCTCAGCTAGAATTTTATATTTCTTAGTGAAATTTGTTCTTCAAATTGTCTCTTATCTCCTTACAGCTAAAACTAGAGAGACTTATGACAAAGCATCAGACTTATAGATAAACTCTATCAATGAAAGAATCTAAGAGCCAGCAGGTTACAATCACTATTTCAATTTCTAAGTGTGACTCTCCCTCTAGCGTGCTTATGCTTAGATTAAGCATGTTCTAATTTCTTAAAAGTTTTGTTTATTCTTGCCTAGAGGCTGCCAAACTCCAAGCAGTTGTACAAATGGAACCAATGACAAATGTGCTAGACTTCTTTTACTGGGATTCAGAAGATCGACCTTGTAAACAGCTCATAACTGCTAAACTATACAATACGACTCCTATGTTGGATTCTGAAGTCCCCTGGACCTTCTCCTTATCCTCTTTGTGGGAGGCTACCACTAGTTTCTCCTGGTGGAAACCATTGTTGGCTATATTCATAGCAATCCTGCTGACCTTATAATTTGGCCCATGTATTAACTGTTTCTTTGGCTTTGTCTCCTCCAGACTCAAAGCTATATGGCTACCAAGATGACAATGCCTGGCACCTACTGAAGGCCTTTAGATAGACCCTCTGTAGAGTAATTCTGACTGCTGATCACAACTACGACCCTCTTCAGGCAGAGGTAGCCACATTGGTCTTTGTCCTTTGCCCCCTCACAGCAGTTAGGGGTACTTCTTCAGAGGGAAGAATAATGCAGATAGGTAAGTTAATTAGATATCTTGTAGGCAGGTAGACAGGGCCTCCCTTAAGGCACCAGCCCTCCAGGAGCCAACACAGCAAGGAGCCAACATGGAGAGCAATTGAGACACATTCACTGGTTAGCATTATAAAAAGGAAAAAAAGTACTACTTCCCCCAGAGATAGATAGCAGTGATTGATATTCTAAATGGAAAATTCCTTATATGTGATTTGTGTTCCCATTTAATCCCCATTTAATCAATATTACCTGGGTGACTGTACTTCTAATATTATTGGTTGGTCGTGGTTTTGTCCCACCTCATGCCCACTTTGTAAATTTCCATTGGGTCTTATAGTTTTCTCCCACTTTGTACCCACCTCACCACATGGCTTTGCTGTATAAAACATCTTTGAACCATGGGGTGGGTGGGCAGCCCACCTTCCGGTCCCCCTTCTGACTCTCTTATGCAGAAGCTTTCTTTCTCTCAATAAATTTTTCCTACTCTTAAAAAAAATAAGTGAGATCTTTTGTGCTTCAAATGGTACCATCAAGGAAGCTAAAAAGATAAATCATAATGAGAGAAAATATTTGTAAATCATATAACTGATAAAAGATATCTTAGTCCATCCCTGGTACTATAACAAAATACCTCAAACTGGTACTGTGTAAGGAATAGAAATTTATTTCTCACAGTTCTGGAGTCTAGAAAGTCCAAGGTCAAGGTGTCTGCAGATTTTGCGTCTGGTGAAGTTTCATGTGCTGGTTCTAAAATGGTATCTAGTTACTGTCCTCACATGATGGAAAGCAGAATGGCAAAAATGAACTATGTCTCTCCCTTGTGCACTTGTATAAGGGCACTAATCCTATGCATGAGAGTGGAGCTTAAGCTTAATTAAGTTTAGGCTTAATTGTCTTCCAAGGGCCCTATGCCTTAATATTCTCACTGAAATTCCAGCACACAAACGATAATGAGAGACTGATAACCAAAGTAAATGAAGAACACTTACAACTCAGTAATAAAAAGACAGGGCCAGGAATTTAGCTCAGTGGCACCACACCTGCCTGGCAAGCACAAGGTCCTGGGTTCGATCCCCAGTACAAAAATAAATAATAATAATAATAATAATAATAATAATAATAATAATAAGACAACCCAATTTTAAAAGTAGTCAAAGGGTCTGAAAAAAATTTCTCCAAAGAAGATATACCAACAGACAGAAATATATGAGATGTTCAAAATTATTTCTTATTAAGTGAACACAAATTAAATTCACAGTGAGATACCATTTAGTGCACACTAAGATGAATAAAATCAGGATAGACAATAGCAATTGTTGGTGAAGATATGGAGAAATTGGAATCCTCATACACTGCTGGTAGGAATACAAAATAGCGTAGCACCTTTGGAAAAGTGTTCCTTAAAAGGTTGAAATAGAGCTACCACATGAGTCAGTAATTCTACTCTGAAGTTATATCAAGAGAGGTTAAAATATGTGCCAAAAAAATAGGATATAAGGTACATGAATATTCACAGCAGCATTATTTATTAAGTCCAAAAAGTAGGAGAAAAAAACACCACAAATGTCCATTAACCAATGAATGGACTCATACAGTGGAATATCAACCAGCCACAACAAGGAAGGAAATAGTAGGACATGCAATAACATGGATAAACCTTGAAAACACACTTCATGAAAAATGTCTGACACAAAAGGCCATGAATTACATGATTCTATTTATATGAAATCTCTTGAATAGTCAATTTTTTTTATGGTACCAGGAATTGAACTCAGGGCCTCATGGTTGCCAGGCAGCCACTGTACCATGGAGCTACATCCCAACCCCTTGAATAGTCAAATTTAGAGAGAGAGAAAGTACATTAGTGACTGCCAGAGGCCAGGAAAAATGGAGGCTGTGGAGTGATCGATAACAGTGTTTCTTTTTGAGGTGTGATGAATATGTTCTAACTTCAGACAGTAGTGGCAGTTATACAATTCTGTGAATATACTAAAAACCACTGAATTGTATAGTTTAAAAGAGTGAATCATGTGGTACACATATGAAACAGTTACCGTGTTTACCTGAAAATAATCACTGTTCTCTTGCTCAGTGGCTCCTCTGCAAGGCAGGTAAGGCAAAGATAGGCTGACTGGGGCTGGGACTTTTGATCTCTAGTTTTCTCTTTTTTTTTTTTCTCTCAGTACCTGGGATGAAACTCAGGACCTTACACTTGCAAGGCAGGTGCAGTGCCACTGAGCTAAATCCCCGGCTGATCTGTAGTTTTCAAGACTGATTATTTTCTGACTAGGTCTTATTTTTTCAGGGAAAGGAGTATTAAAAAAATAAAAATTGTTTTGGGGACAACTCAAAATGAGCTACTTCTCAAACTTATTTTTGTAGATTTATGCATCTTTGAACTAGAAAGAACTTTAGCAATCTTGTTTTTATTTCTGTTTGAGAAAAAACAACCAGTGAACTGTCTCACTTTGACTAATGAAACATATCATATAAATTCTCCTAACCTTCCTATAAAGATCAGAGGAAGCAATATGAGACAATGTGCTTTGGAAACAGCTAGCCCTGTAAATATATTGTATTATAGTGTTGTCATATTTTACAATGTTACAGGCCATAAAAAAGTAGAAGTATGTGCCTTTGAATTTTGGCTCCCTCCACTAGCTCTCCATGCAGCTTTAAAAGAATTTCATGTCATCTCTTCTCCATACTTTAAAAGGGATTAGAATATTATATGAGAAGATTTAAAAGCATTTGGAAAAAGCCCTGCTTCCTGAAAGTCTTCACTGATTGAACTTGCTTCGAAAGGCCATTTGTTCCCTCTTTTCTTTCATCCTCCAGCTGCCTCTCAAAAACAGGAGGGGAAGGAATCGATGTTTTCTATTTTAGTGCTGTCAAAGGCTATAGCCAAACAGCTAAAAGCAGATGACAGTGATATGGAGATATTTGCTTCTTGAGCTATTGAATGAATATTAAAGGAATGATCAAGATATCTTTTCCTACATGAGCTTTTAATGTTGAAACAAAAATAGTGTAAGTGACACATTTGCAAAGAATTCTACAACACTGGAAAAATAATTGAACATTAAAATTGAGAAGAACAGCTATGGAAATAGGTGTATGTGTTCCAAATGGAATAGAAGGGGAAAAATGAGATCACAAGTTAAATACTCAATTATTAGGGGGAAAAAACCATAACTTTGCAGTTCTTTATCATTCTAGGCAATTTTTCTGGCAAGATTACCAAAGTAAAATGCTAGATAAACCAGTTTCCAACATTTCAGTCTAAAAGAAACTTCAAGATGTCAGTGAATTTGCCTTAAGCTGCTCAAAATCTTCTTCAGGCTACAGATCTAACAACAGTTGTTCAGAGGTGTTTATTTTCCCTTATTTTTAGTTCTTAATCCATTTCTGCTACTATAACAAAATACCCTAGACTGGGTGATTTATAAAGAAAGAAATTTATTTCTTACAGGTTTAGAAGCTGGAAAGTCCAAAGTCACAAGTTTGGTGTCTGGTGAAGCCTCCCTCTCTGCCTGTAAGATGGTGCCTTGTCCTCTAGGGGCAGGTGAACACTGAGACCCCACATTAGGGAAGGCATGGAAGAGCAAAGGGCTAGTTCCCTCCACTCCCTTTATAAGGGCATTAATCCAATCCAAGGGCAGAGCCCTCCTGGCCTAATTGTGTCCTACAGGCCTACATCTTAATATTGTCATACTAGGAATTGCTTCAGTTTGAACTATAGAGAGGACCCAAACATTCAAACAATAGCACAGTTTTTCTGTTTTTACACTGAGAATAAAATATCCAGAAACTGAACTCTCTAGCTGCACCTGGTGGAAGGATTAATCAAACATTTTATGTCACCAGTATAATGTAGCTATCATTTATAAAATGCAGCCATCAACATAATGGCTGGTTGGATGCTGGAATGATTGTTTGCAAAAAGATAGGGAACGTTTCCCAGAGGAGTGGATAGTTTAAACCCATAATAGGGTAAGTATAGGATCTAGCTAGATGAAGAAACAGGTTTTAGGGAAGCCCCCTGGGAAGAGGAGTCCAGAACTACCAGAAAGAACCAAATCATGCAGAGCCTTTTGACTCTACAAAGCAATTTGGACTTTATTCTGTGGGGTAGGGTTTGCAGGACCATTGAAGAGTTTACCACTAGGTTAGACAATGTGCTAATTCCATAGCATCACCTCTTCTGAAATACCTATCATTTCAGCCAGACTTTATGAGCTATTTCAAAGTGAGATATTTCTCACTAGAAACTTTAAAAATGTAACTATCAGACAATTATGCTGTAATCCATTTCTCTGTAGCTTATTACCCTCAGACCTGCTTGCTGTCTGTGTTATAGATGCTTATTTGTTTTGTCTTTGTGTCTGTGTGTGTATGTATGTGTGTGCCTGTTTCTGTTTATAAAGTTACTCTATTGCTACATTTATAAAAATCATTTTAGAAGCTAATAATCAGACTCCAATTAGTTGGTGACATAATAGATTATTCATTAAGTATACCCACCATTTTTCATCCAAGTAAATTCTAGCCAGATCCATACTATGGCTTTAAAAATTAGTCTTTTAGAAAAAGGAAACAGGTGATTTAGGTAAACCAAAACATCAAAGCTTCTTCCTTAATACAAGGAAGAGGAAATTGGTTACAATATGACAATATGTTGGGAATCCTACCAATCTTAGTTCCCAGATCAAGTGACAATATTTGCACACTATTTATTTAGAAGAAGAGTAAATAATCACCCACACCTGGCCTATCCCCTGGGCTACATTCTAAGATAGTTTTGGTGACACTGAGCCTATAGAGGACAGGGCTGAGCTGTAGGTTATGGGTTTCTGATTATATGGAAGTCTTGCTAATAGGATTACTCCACAACAAACATTTTCACCACGTAAATCCTCCTTTGTCATGACAGTGTTTTGTTCTAAACTTCCAGGCACTTATTGAAAGCTACGAGAAGGGAGCCAGAGGCCCACCCAGATTCCTTCAGTAAGAGCGAGCAGATCCCTGTGAGAAGCCTACATGGACCAGAGCTGCACTGGTGTGCACAGGTCCCAGCCAGGGCCCCACCCAGACCCCAGTAGCTTGAGCCCATAGGCTCCAACTAAAGACCTGCTTTGAAAAGAGCTATGCAGGCAAGGAAGCAACAGCCAGAGGCCCACCCAGATAATACTGCTAAGTGTGTACAGACCCCAGCTAGAAGCCCACTCAGACCAGCGACTTGGGTACATGATTCCCAGCCAAAGGCCCTCCTGGACAACAGCTACGCAGGGAGGCAGGCCCCAGCCAGAGGCAGGCCCAGATACCATCCCAAGTGTGCACAGGCCCCAGCCAGAACCCTGCCCAGACAACAGGGCACCCTAGGGATCCAGAAGGCCACCATTATGAACCCAGGAATTGCCACAGTGGTAAACAGCAGAAAAAAGGCCTTTCAGTGGCTTGCTGAGAAATGAAAACCACTAGACAAGCAAAAAGTCACCTCATCAAAGGTGTAACAGGCTGTATCTGTGAAATAAGAAGACACCTAAACAAGTCTCAAAACCAGACTTCCAGATCACCTAAGGCAACCTCAAAGGGCAACGACATGGAACAATCTGATACTCAACCACTTGGAGTCCCTGAACTGCCAACAAAAGAGAATTCAGAAAAAATGAAATCAGAAATAATTTCTCAGATAACATCAAAGATTGTGTCCATAGTGCAAGAAATGATTAATAACTTTAGAGCAGACACAGATAAAAAAAATAGAGGACCTGAGAAATAAGCTGGAATCCCAGCATAGGAAATAAATGGAATCCATAAAACAAATGCAAACAGATTTCCAGGAGATTAAAAACATTGATAATTTATGCAGCAGAATGAGCCAATGTGAGGACAGAATATCAGATATAGAAGACAGGATTAAAATTAGTGACCAGGAAAAAAAAAATTTCTTAAAAATAGTAAGGGACCATGAGAAATCAATCCAGCAGCTGCTAGATATGCAAAGAAGTCAATGAAGAAACAGAAGAGAGTACAAATGACTTAAAAAAAACTGTTCACAGAAGTGATGGCAGAAAACTTCCCAAGCAGGACAAAAGAACTTGACATACAGATAAGTGAGGCATATAGGACTCCAACTAGCCAGGATCAAAAAAACCTACACCTAGACATATAATAGTTCAGATTCCAGAAACCCAACAGAAGAATAAAATTCTACAAGCAGTTAGAGAAACAAATCACATACAAAGGAAAGCCCAACAGAATCACAGCAGACTTCTCAACACAAGCCCTCAAGGCAAGAAGACCCTGGAGTAAAGTATTTCAAGCCCTAAAAGAAAACAACCTCCAACCCAGATTGATGTAACCTCCAAAACTATCTTTCAAAATCAATGTATAAATAAGATACTTTCATGACAAAGAGCACCTGAGGAACTTCATGAATACCAAACCAGCACTCGAAAAAATTTTAGAAAATATCCTAGGAAAAGACACCGAGAATCACAACCCCAGGAAGCCCAGTAGAATGAATCCATCAGGCACGACAAAAAATTAAATGCAAAGCGTGAGAATCCAACAAAAAGAAAAAGTCATGACAAGGATAAGTCAATACATATCAGTTATAACCATCAGTGTTAATGGTCTCAATTCACCAATCAAAAGCTAACAGAAGGAAAAGAGAAACTACTCAAAACCTACTCTCATTTATCAGAAAGAACAAAATCTCACTACATACTAGACTGCACCTGCATATTATAGCTTTATTTTGATTTTATAATAACATACTTGTCACTACTTGAAAACACCTCCAAGACCAATAAACAGTAAAGTCACAGGAACAATCTACTCCTGACACTGTTTTAAACAACTTTGATTGGGCAATAAACTCAGTCATTTGTACTTGTTATCCACAGAACTATTGTTTTCATTTTTGTCTTGCTCTTCTGACACTCAGCTATAACACCTCACTGAAAATACGGGTATATTAGCAGCTGTCCACTGCAATTTGGAAGGGAGTTCTAAGGAAACTAAACACAAAGGCCTTCCTTTTTTCAGTGAAAAATATTGTTTGGGTAAAGCCTTTGAATCTCAACTTCTTTATGACTGGAAATCAGTTTAGTCTCAATTAACTCATAATTAGATTAAATGACAGAGAAAAAACTTCAAAACAAAATATCCATCAGTTCTAAAAGTACAGCATTTTAAAAGCCCTCAACCTGACCCCTAGTCCTACTATTTATAGTTTAATGAAAATAAATTGTTTTCAGCATATCCAATTACTATGTAGGTTATTTGTTTGTAGATGTGTTCGTTAAATCACAGGATTCTTTTGGAAAGAAAATGTTTTGCCCCTTTACAGTATGTATTTAGTCCACAGGTAGATTTAAAAGTAGAACTGGTCCATCAAATATCACAGCTCAAAAGAAAAGCACACTTTTTGTCGTTGTAGAACTTCAGGACCACTGTGAAAGCCATGATTGCTTGGTTCCTTTGAAAGAGAATGCTCAAGTGTCACAAAGTGGATGACTCCACAGTGTCTTAATGGGATGCTGCTGTGAACGTAGAGTTCTGTTTGCCTTCTGCATGGAAGGAAGAGTTATAGCAGTTGAAAAAGAAAAAGTTCTTGTCAGGATTGCATTGAAACAGAAAGCTAATGTCTACAAATTATTTCTCACGTCCAACTACCTGTGTTTGCTATTATTCCCATTCTCTTAATTCAAATCAGTACTGGCCAGTAGAGAGCCCAGGACATATTAGTTGTGCTCATATTTTTATTCTTTCAGATTATAGTATAAGCTTTCTTTCTAATACTCCTTAATGCATTTAGTGTTCAGAATATACTAAACTCAGCAGGACATGATGATCCACACCTGTAATCTCAGCTACTCAGAAGGTTGAGACAGGAGGATCACAACTTCCAGGCCAGCCTGGGAAAATTAACAAGATGTGTCAATAAATATAATTAATTAATTAAAAAGGGCAGGGGGTGTAGCTCAGTGGTAGAGTACTTGCCTAGCATGCATGAACCCTGAGTTCAATTCCTAGTAAATTCTATTAATCTCTGCCTGATTTCATTTTTCATTTAAATAGATGAGATGTGATTTTTAAAATGGCAATTTTTTTGTTATTACTGTGAAAGACTCATTACAGTTAATCCCCCTCAAGATACTCCCCCTCACTTCAAACACTTATCCCACCATTCTTGCCACCTTCTGAAGCAGTTCTGGAAATGCTCTTTCACAGGTGTCTAGTTGTGTATACTGTTATGGCTGCCTCCAGGTTCTGAATTGATTCAAAATTATTATAGTATCTTCCGTGGTCATTTTAAATTTGGGAAAGAGCCAGAAGTCTTGCAGTGTCAGATCCAGTGAGTAAGATGGATGAGGACAAACTATAAAGCTTTATTTGACAGAAATTACCATAAATGTTTTGAATCAATTCAGAACATTGAAGCAGCCACAATGGTGCAACTAAAGACAGTCACAAAAGAGGACTTTCAGAACTGCTTTAGAAAGTGGCAAGAATGATGGGATAAGTGTATTTTAATTGAAGGGGATTTTTTTTTTTTTGGTACCGGCGATCGAACTCGGATCCTTGCACTTGCAAAGCAGGTGATGGAACCACTGAGCTAAATCCCTGGCCCCTGAAGAGGATTATTCTGAGGGGATTAATGGCAATGTGTGTTTTACTGTAATAAAGTTATTTTTAATTTAAACTCACCATATTTTTGTCACACCTCGCATTTAGTATTTTACCTGAAATTATATTAGGAAACTTCTAATTTTCCCATACTTTTCGAATTCTCCTGATTAGGAAAAAAATTAATAGAAAATAAATTATATGTGAGCAGTGTGATTATCAAACTATTCTTTAGTTACTTAATCTACTCATTACAAAACACAAGGAAAGATATTAACCTTCCAAGTGTATTGCAAATTTTCACCAGTTTCTTCTTTCTTTTTCAAAATACTTTCTCCCAGTTACTCTTTTACATTAAAATCACATCATCCCTTTTAAACATTTTCTCTGAATAACTTGGATTGACCTTTCCCTTTAGGGCCTCAACTTTATGAATATTCTCCCATTGCAAACCTCTTAGATTTGTTAAAATGGCACACAAACACACAGAGGCAGTGATACTACCCTCTGAGCTCTACATTCAGAAAAGAATTATTTCAGATACATTAATTTTCAATATTTGAAGTACACAAGGAAAAAATTGACAATTGTTTTCCTAAAATAAAATGCTTTATCAAATTTAGGCATGTATTACTAATTCCACCCTAAACCTTTAACAAGGTAGTATATAAATTTAATATGTCCATAAGAAATATTTAAAATTCTAATTTATGCCAAGTACAATGCCCACAATCCCAGGGAGGGATTGGGAGGCTGAGCCAGGAGGATTTAAATTCAAGGCCACCCTGGACAATGTAGAGACACTCAGTCTCAAAAAACTTTTTAATATAGGATATTAGTTAAGGCTCTGTTTTCACATATAAAACTATGCTATAAACACAATTTAAACATGCAATAGTAGGATTTTTAAGGATCCATCTACTCAGACCCAAGTGCCCGGTCACTTACGTGGGCTCTCACTGTCAGATGTTAGAGTTAAATTGTGATCTGGCCCTTCCACAACACAGGCTGTCTGCTGTAAACAGACACAGCAGTACCGTAGCTAATAGAGAAGTCAACCATGGCTCTTCCAATAGGTACCATTCCCAACCCAGCCACAGCACTGAACTGTGAAGCACCACCATGCTAGTATCACAAAGAAGCCAATCCAGCCACTCTTCATGGTCCCGGCTCAAGGCTGACCCAGATGCAGCATAACCAACTGCAGCTGCTTTCAAGCTTGCCCCAGCAAACAACGGGAGAGTTGGGGCTTTGGAGAAGCTTTTTGCTGTGCTGAACTACTTTTTGAACTAATTTAGGGAGGTTTCTTCAAAATTTCAAAGGCCCCCTTGAGTACAGTAGTTGTTTGACATTTTTCAGAAGCCAGCAAGGTGCAAAACACTACATGAAATTGTCTTTCTTGGTATTTCAAAGGCTCGATCTGCTCCATTGCTTTTAATTAACCTATTCTGACCCAATTAAATCCATTCATTCATTCAAAATTGCATTTACTAATTCCACCGTTCAATTTAAACCAGTTGTCCAAGCTTGGACAACTAATTTTCACCTCTGCCACAGTACACAGGGAAAAGTACAAGCCCAGCTAAAGTGTATCTGAATGTGGCTTTGTGGGTATTTACACACCAGGCTGGAGAGCTCAACTGATCAGGACAGGGTGCTAATTAGGCCAAAATTGAAGATTCAGTCCCTCTATGAGCCAATCAACTTCATGTAGGCAAAATCACCACTCCACAGATGCAGATTAAGTTTCTAAACCCAGCCAGCCATGTAGAAAACATGCCAGTGAGCTCAAGGAATATTAAGAGAAAGAGCTTGGGTAGCTCAGGGCAAGCCACCATTAC